GGAATTTTAATGTACTGTTGGTATGGTTTTCCTGCAATAAATCACGGCTGACTACAGAAGGGTTAATGTACTGTTGGTATGGTTCCCGCAGTAAAGGATGACAGACTACAGATAGGTTAATGTACTTTTTGTATGGTTCATCTGCAATAAATGATGGCAGACTAGAGAAAGGTTAATGTACTGTTGGTATATGATACAGAAAGGTTAATGTACTGTTGGTATGGTTCATCTTCAGAAATTGAAGGCAGACTACAGAAAGGTTAATGAACCGTTGGTATGGTTCATCTGCAATAAATGATGGCATACTCCAGAAATATTAATGTACTGTTGGTATGGTTCATCTGCAGACTACAGAAAGGTTAATGTACTGGTAAAGGATGGCAGACTACAGGAATTTTAATGTACTGTTGGTATGGTTCATCTGCAGTAATGGATGGCAGACTACAGAAAGGTTAATGTACTGTTGGTATGGTTCATCTGCAATAAATGATGGCAGACTACAGAAAGGTTAATGTACTGTTGGTATGGTTCATCTTCAGAAATTGAAGGCAGACTACAGAAAGGTTGATGTACTGTTGGTATGGTTCATATGTATTAATGGATTGCAAACTAAAGAAAGATTAATGTACTGTTGGTATTGTTTCCTCATTAAAGTATGGCTGACTGTAGAAAGGGTAATGTACTGATGGTATGGTTCATATCTAGTAGTGGATGGCAGACTGCAGAAAGGTTAATGTACTGTTGGTATGGTTCATATGTATTAATGGATGGCAGACTAAAGAAAGGTTAATGTACTGTTGGTATGGTTCCCTCAGTAAAGGATGGCAGACTACAGAAAGGTTTATGTACCGTTAATATGGTTCATATATAGTAATGGATGGCACATTACAGAAAGGTTAATGTACTGTTAGTATGGTTCCCTCAGTAAAGGATGACAGACTACAGATAGGTTAATGTACTGTTGGTATGGTTCATATGTAGTAATGGATGGCAGACTACAGAAAGGTTAATGTACTGTTGGTATGGTTCAACTACAATAAATGATGGCAGACTACAGAAATGTTAATATACTGTTGGTATGGTTCATCTGTAATAAATGATAGCAGACTACAGAAAGGTTAATGTACTGTAAAGGATGGACTACAGAAAGGTTAATGTACTGTTGGTATGGTTCATCTGCAAAAAATGATGGCAGACTACAGAAAGGTTAATGTACTGTTGGTATGGTTCATCTGCAATAAATGATGGCAGACTACAGAAAGGTTAATGTACTGTTGGTATGGTTCCCTCAGTAAAGGATTGCAGACTACAGAAAGGTTAATGTACTGTTGGTATGGTTCATCTTAAGAAATTGAAGACAGACTAGAGAAATGTTAATGTACTGTTGGTATGGTTCATCTACAGTAAAGGATTGCAGACTACAGAAAGGTTAATGTACTGTTGCTATGCTTCTCTCAGTAAAGGATGACAGACTACAGAAAGGTTAATGTACTGTTTGTATGGTTCATCTGCAATAAATGACGGCAGACTACAGAAATGTTAATATACTGTTGGTATGGTTCATCTGCAATAAATGATGGCAGACTACAGAAAGGTTAATGTACTGTTGGTATGATTCCCTCAGTAAATGATGACAGACTACAGATAGGTTAAAGTACTGTTCGTATGGTTCATCTGCTCTAAAGGATTGCAGACTACAGAAAGTTTAATGTACTGTTGGTATGGTTTATCTGCAATAAATGATGGCAGACTACAGAAAGGTTAATGTACTGTTGGTATGGTTAACTCATTAAAGTATGGCAGATTTCAGAAAGGTTAATGCACTGTTGGATGGTTCATCTGCAGTATTGGATGGCAGACTACAGAAAGGTTAATGTACTGTTGGTATGGTTCATCTGCAGTAAAGGATGGCAGACTACAGAAAGGTTGATATTCTGTTGGAATGATTCATCTGCTTTAAAGAATTGCAGACTACAGAAAGGTTAATGTACTGTTGGTATGGTTTATCTGCAATAAATGACAGCTGACTACAGAAAGGTTAATGTACTGTTGGTATGGTTCATCTGCAGTAAAGGATGACAGACTACAGAAAGTTTAATGTACTGTTGGTATGGTTCATCTGCAATAAATGATAGCAGACTACAGAAAGGTTAATGTACTGTTGGTATGGTTCCCTCAGTAAAGGATGGCAGTCTACTGAAAGGTTAATGTACTGTTGGTATGGTTTATCTGCAATAATTGATGGCAGACTACAGAAAGGTTAATGTACTGTTGGTATGGTTCAACTACAATAAATGATGGCAGACTACAGAAATGTTAATATACTGTTGGTATGGTTCATCAGCAATAAATGATGGCAGACTACAGAAAGGTTAATGTACTGTTGGTATGGTTCATCTGCAATAAATGATGGCAGACTACAGAAAGGTTAATGTACTGTTGGTATGGTTCATCTGCAATAAATGATGGCAGACTACAGAAAGGTTAATGTACTGTTGGTATGGTTCATCTGCAATAAATGATGGCATCCTCCAGAAAGGTTAATGTACTGTTGGTATGATTCATCTGCAGTAAATGATGGCAGACTACAGAAAGGTTAATATGCTGTTGGAATTGTTCATCTGCTCCAAAGGATTGCAGACTACAGAAAGGTTAATGTACTGTTCGTATGGTATCTTCAGTAAAGGATGGTAGACTTCAGAAAGGTTAATGTACTGTTGGTATGGTTCATCTGCAGTAATGGAAGACACACTACAGAAAGGTTAATGTACTGTTGGTATGGTTGGCAGACTACAGAAAGGTTAATGTACTGTTCATGGTTCATCTGCTCAATAAAGGAAGACTACAGAAAGGTTAATGTACTGTTGGTATGGTTCCCTCAGTAAAAGATGACAGACTACAGAAAGGTTAATGTACTATTGGTATGGTTCAACTGCAATAAATGATGGCAGATTACAAAAAGGTTAATGTACTGTTGGTATGGTTCATCTTCAGAAATTGAAGGCAGACTACAGAAAGGTTAATGAACCGTTGGTATGGTTCATCTGCAATAAATGATGGCATACTCCAGAAATATTAATGTACTGTTGGTATGGTTCATCTTAAGAAATTGAAGACAAACTAGGGAAATGTTAATGTACTGTTGGTATGATTCATATGTAGTAATAGATTGCAGACTACTGAAAGGTTATTGTACTGTTGGTATGGTTCATCTGCATTAATGGAAGACACACTACAGAAAGGTTAATGTAATGTTGGTATGGTTAACTCATTAAACTATGGCAGATTTCAGAAAGGTTAATGTACTGTTGGTATGGTTCATCTGCATTAATGGAAGACAGACTACAGAAAGGTTAATGTACTGTTGGTATGGTTCATCTTCAGAAATTGAAGGCAGACTACAGAAAGGTTAATGAACCGTTGGTATGGTTCATCTGCAATAAATGATGGCATACTCCAGAAATATTAATGTACTGTTGGTATGGTTCATCTACAATAAATCATTGCAGACTACAAAAAGTTCAATGTACTGTTGGTATGGTTCATCTGCAATAAATGATGGCAGACTACAGAAAGGTTAATATACTTTTGGTATGGTTCATCTGCAATAAATGATGACAGACTACCGAAAGGTTAATGTACTGTTGGTATGGTTTTCTCATTAAAGTATGGCTGACTTCAGAAAGGATAATGTACTGATGGTATGGTTCATATGTAGTAATGGATGGCAGACTACAGAAAGGTTAATGTACTGTTGGTATGGTTCAACTACAATAAATGATGGCAGACTACAGAAATGTTAATGTACTGTTGGTATGGTTCCCTCAGTAAAGGATTACAGACTACAGAAAGGTTAATGTACTATTGGTATGGTTCATCTGTAGTAAATGATGGCAGACTACAGAAAAGTTAATATACTGTTGGAATGGTTCATCTGCTCTAAAGAATTGCAGACTACAGAAAGGTTAATGTACTGTTGGTATGGTTCATCTTCAGAAGTTGAAGGCAGACTACAGAAAGTTTAATGTACCGTTGGCATGGTTCCCTCAATAAAGGATGACAGACTACAGATAGGTTAATGTACTGTTGGTATGATTCATCTGCTCTACAGGATGGCGTACTACAGAAAGGTTAATGTACTGTTGGTATGGTTCATCTTCAGAAATTGAAGGCAGACTACAGAAAGGTTAATGTACTGTTGGTATGGTTCATCTGCAATAAAGGATTGCAGACTACAGAAAGGTTAATGTACTGTTGGTATGATTCATCTGCTCTACAGGATGGCGTACTACAGAAAGGTTAATGTACTGTTGGTATGGTTCATCTGCAGTAAAAGATGGCAGACTACAGAAATGTTAATATACTGTTGGTATGGTTCATCTGCAGTAAAGGATTGCAGACTACAGAAAGGTTAATGTACTGTTGGTATGGTAGACTCATTAAACAATGCCAGATTTCAGAAAGGTTAATGTACTGTTGGTATGGTTCATCTGCATTAATGGAAGACAGACTACAGAAAGGTTAATGTACGGTTGGAATGGTTTATCTGCTTTAAAGAGTGCAGATTACAGAAAGGTTAATGTACTGTTGGTATGGTTCATCTGTGGTGAAGGATTGCAGACTACAGAAAGGTTAATGTAGTGTTTGTATGGTTCATCTGCAATAAATGATGGCAGACTACAGAAATGTTAATATACTGTTGGTATGATTTATCTGCAATAAATGATGGCAGATTACAAAAAGGTTAATGTACTGTTGGTATGGTTCATCTTCAGAAATTGAAGGCAGACTACAGATAGAATAATATATTGGAATAAAATTTGGGACCACACAAAAAAGTCAATACAACAAGGTATTCAAATCATCAAAGTTTCATTCATGGAAGTTTGATTGGATATGGTAGTACTACAGAAATGGTATAGAAACGCCATGGATAAAATGGCACTGGAAAAGCGTAATGGTCGGTATGTAAAATAGCTATGTACTTTACAAATTTTTACCTTAAACAGAGTCGGAATAAATCATCAACGGTGTCTGGGTGGTTCCTCAGCCCATTGTGTTCCTCTAGAATTTTAAATGTGGGAACACAGAATGCCTGCAAAGATGAGGAAAAGCATATTGACAGAGTAATGGTGAAGTCTGAATGGAAACAGGTGTAAATAATTATATATAGAAGAGGTCTAGTGGCCGTGACAGTCACCTGAGATAAACAATATTGATTATAAAGGTTAAAGGATAAGTAGCTTTCAAGTGTCATGAAAGAGAACTTGTGACATTGATGATAGTAACCCAGTGTCAATACATGCACACCATCAAAACTGTCATCCTATATTGATAATTCTTACAAAGTCACTTCCAGTAGGAAATAAACAAGGTATGCTTACAAGTGCAATTTTCCCAATAAAAATAACTGTAAAGTTAACCTTCTCCCCAGGAAGAAATGTGAGACCCATTTTGGTAATGAAAACACCTAAGATGCTTCCATCCAAGAAGAGCATTTGATTCTGCCATATCTGGGTGTTGAGGAAAAGATTTTTGAAATCTGAGTCAGTTTGACCACTTTTGTGCCTGCCAATCAGCCCTTAGTGGTCAGATAAGATCAATATAGGCATAACATTAAGCTGTCATCCCTAACTCATGATTTTAACCAAGTTTGAAATATTTCCAAAGGATATTTAACAAATTATGCTCAAAATTCTAGTTTTTATAAACTTCTGTAAACTTTACCCCCTCCAATGTGGATATGTATGATCCTGCGGCCATGAAATTCATATTTTTAGTAAATCACCTTAAGACGCTTCCATCCATGAAGAGCATTTGATACTACCATATCTGGGTGTTGAGAAGAAGATTTTTTTTAAATCTCCGGACCCCAAGGGGTGGGGACAATGTAATTCACTAACTTGTTTCATCTTAACCCAGGGAAGGTTTCTGCAAAATTGATTGAAATTGGTTCATGGGTTTTGAGAAGAAGTCGAAAATGTCTAATTGTTAACAGGCGTATGTAGCCAGATGAAGGTGATTGCAATAGGTCACCATGAGACTTTCTCTCAGGTGACCTGAAAAACCAAAACATTACCTGTAACATATTAAGAAGTCCTGGCTGACATGCCTCCTCCATGCCATACTCGTCTACAAGTATACTGCCTAAGTAGAGGAAACAGGAGTGTTGATGGACCTGGTACAGTGTTATCATCTGTCAATATATAAACACTCATGTCACAAGTATGACAGAAGTAAATACAAGACACACGTGTGTATCACAGGGGTAAATACAAGACACACATATGTATCAAAGGGGTAAATACAAGACACACGTATGTATCACAGGGGTAAATACAAGACACTCATATGTATCACAGGGGTAAATACAAGACACTCATATGTATCACAGGGGTAAATACAAGACACACATATGTATCACTGGGGTAAATACAATACACACATATGTATCACAGGGGTAAATACAAGACACACATATGTATTAAAGGGGTAAATACAAGACACATATGTATCACAGGGGTAAATACAAGACACACATATGTATTAAAGGGGTAAATACAAGACACATATGTATCACAGGGGTAAATACAAGACACATATGTATCACAGGGGTAAATACAAGACACACATATGTATCATAGGAGTAAATACAAGACACATGTATGTATCACAGGGGTAAATACAAGACACTCATATGTATCATAGGGGTAAATACAAGACACATGTATGTATCACAGAGGTAAACACAAGACAGTGTATTACAGAGTTAAACACAAGACACAATGTATTACAGAGTTAAACACAAGACACAGTGTATCACAGAGTTAAACACAAGACACAATGTATCACAGAGTTAAACACAAGACACAGTGTATTACAGAGTTAAACACAAGACACAGCGTATCACAGAGTTAAACACAAGACACAATGTATCACAGAGTTAAACACAAGACACAATGTATTACAGAGTTAAACACAAGACAATGTATTACAGGTAAAGACAATGTACAATTCCTTACACAATAGACATGTGTATAGTATGATATATAACAACAAGCTTGTGTATACTATACCTGTGACACTAAAGGACTGAGAAGGGAGGCTGAACTTTTTCCTAGGCACCTGATAGCAAAACGTATACAGCGACAACACCGCTCTACAATGCGGATATCAGCCTGGTATTTATCACAAGCCTGCGATAGAACTGGCCATACCTGGATACAGAAACAATAGCGACAATGTCTTTTATTACCAATCTCTGCCCATACAATACCCCCTTCCCTTCTCTCATTCCCTAACAATAAAACCTCTTCCTTATCTGCAAGAAACACTGCATTAATCATTTAATACACCTGTATTTCGCAAATAAGCCCCCTTCCACAAATAAGCCCCCCCCGCCCCACCACCTTTTCCAATTTGCCAGGAATAGGGGGTATTCGCAATTAAAGTGTACCCTGAGAGGTCAGCTATGTTGAGCTTAAAAAATAGTTCTGCACATAAAATACACATTGCCGAAAACGCAAAAGCTGTGAATTTTCCGTTACTGAGAAATTGCGACTTTTCTGAAAACACACCTTGGCTGAGAGGCGTTGACCTCGTTTTCGGGCATCCAAACCTGTGAAGTCATAAGTTCAACGCTTTTGCTGATGCAGCCATATTGGCATTACTTTGCTACATGTGACTGTGATCTATTTTTGGATTTTCCGGGGTAATTTCTTTGTTTATTTACGTGAAAGCACTTCACATCTTCGCAATATTTAAGGTAGTGAACGAGGGGTCGGTGAATTAGCACTTAAATCCGCTAAAATGGCTTCCTATCGAGGAGGGAAGCGGTGTGCAGCGTACGTTTGTCCTAACGGTCCCAGGAATTTTCGTACTGAAGAAAATCTGTCTCGGGTATTTTCGTCCCGAAAATTTTCGTACTACTATTATACAGTAATACTATAGAATAGGTTATGTGTAGAGATGTCATCTAAATTCATAATCACACCTGTGCCAGGCTAGGTAATTAGCGCCTCTGTGGCTTGAAAAAACAATGGTGAGACGACGCGCCTGTCGGCTAACAACAGACGCATACCAGTAATTGGGTAAAAACCAATCAAATCATTGTATAAACTTCTAAAACATCAAATTTTTATTATCAACACAGCCGAGGGTGTTATAATTGGTTGTTGACATCCTATCTATATATATCCATAGTGCTACGAAAATTCCCTTTGGATGAAAATTCTTCGGACAAAAATTCCCGACACCGTCCTAACACTAACACGGATGGGCTGGATTCCGTCTTAAGAAATATCATCCATAACATAATCAGACTCCTCAAAACTCATGTTCAAATCACTATCAGGTGCGGTGTAGTTGTCACTCTCAGTCATGTTGGCTTCCATTTCTGTTGAACTTATGACCTCACGAGTAGAAGCGCCTCGATTCCGCGGAAATGACCATTACGCTGATTAGGTCTGAGCAGACAGGTGAAAATCGACAACTTTGTGCTTTAATAACTCGACACAGGTGCGACAGATTTTAACGGGGTTTTCGTTATTATTATTTTTACGGCATTCTTAACATTATATCTAAATATGAAATTACACTCAGGGTACACTTTAAGCCCCCCTTTTTAAAAAAAAAAACAACACATGCGACGATGAAGCAGTACTTACATTTAATTGCCAGGTGTAATTAGTAGGGGCTTGTTTTTCTAGTGTTTACAGATGTCCACTTATTTTTTATTTCAACTGGTGATAATTAGGTAACAATCACAGCGACTGACTGAGAGGGCTGCGCTCAATACATGCTAAAACAACACAGTGTCGCTTTGACGTTTTGAGAAGACTTTGACACGTTGAGTCCCAAGCCATATCAGTGTCGTTAAATAGAGAGTAAAAATCCAACCATGACAAAAATCATCATGCCTGCTACACGAAGACGTTACACAGTTAAGGAGAAGTTGGACATTGTAACTGGTTGCAGGACAATGGCCGAAATCGCCAGAGATTTCTCCGTCGACAGGAAACTTGTCAGACAGTAGGGCAGAGACTGAGAATTTCCTTGGCCATGGAAAAGGGTCAGACTCCAAGAAGAAGAAGCTTGGCACCAACCCAGTGCCCAGGTCCTTTAAGCTTGACAACACCGTATCTGACTGGTTCGTTGAGGAAAGCGAGGAGGGTCGAGCCGTCTCCAATTATCAGCTGCAGTCTAAGGGGAGAGAACTCGCCAGCCAACTCCGCACTGACAACTTCATTGCCTCCAATGGATGGTTACGTGGTAGGAAACAGCGTTTCAGCGTTGGAATACGTTGATCTCAGTAAAATATTTTGTTATATTGTTAATAAAATTATTGATCCTATTTTCGTCTTTGGGTTATTTTTGATGACAGATAGGTCAAGTTATCGTTCCTTATGACGAGAAATCCAAGATGGCGAACACACGTACATATCGTGAACAGGGGGATTGCCTGCAAATAAGCCCCCTCCCCTCTTCTGACAAGTCTTTTTGAACTGGGTGGGGGCTTATTTGCGGTAAAATACAGTACTGTCCCTCTCCCCATCATCATTATCACCTAATGATGTCACCACTCACTCCTACTTACTCCACCATCTCCTCAATACTGTCACTCCCCCATTCCAAACACTAACATCTCATCTTCACCATATTAGAATCACTGCATTAATCAACTTTCTCCACCATTTCCTCAATACTGTCACTCCCCCCTCCCCCTCCCAAACACTAACATCTCATCTTCACCATATTAGAATCACTGCATTAATCAACTTTCTCCACCATCTCCTCAATAATGTCACTCCCCCCTCCCCCTCCCAAACACTAACACCTCATCTTCACCGTATTAGAACCACTGTGTTAATCATCTGTTCTCTCTTTCTCCCTACTATCATAGTAAGCCTCCACTCACTGCCACTTCCCGTCCCCACCTTGCCCAGTAAGAGATAATTGATGATAACATACCTCCTGGATTGCTGACAAACATGGATGTGTTGTTCCATTGGTCACTGTTGGGTTTGTATGTCTAAAAGATAAACACAAACTTTTAATATAAAATACAGTGATCCTCTTGTGATCAAATGTCTTAGTTCAGTAGAAAAAAAATGTTAAAAAAAATAAAAAGGAGCTTGGCGGCCACCATTGTTTGATCTTTATTTGTTTAAGTGTTGGATCTTTTTCGTTCTTTTTTTTTTCTCTGTTTTTGCTCTGAATGAAAATAAATTTGAACATTCCTTCACAGAAATAGCGATGATAATCTTTACCTCCAAAATTCAAAATAGTCACCTGGAAGCCATTTTCTTAATTCATATTAGTCCCAAAATCAGACAGGCACAAGTAGAGACCAAAGAGAACATATGCATAGAATTTGAGAGATCCATTCAATACTTCTTAAAAAATAGGGATAACAGATAACAATCTGTCAGCCATTTCATTTTCTTCTATCAGTCTAAAAATTAGACAGGTAAATCTGGGGACAAAGAGGAACCTATACATGAAATTTGAGAAAGATTTATGTAGTATTTCTCGAGAAATAGCGATAACAACTCTAAGATGACTGCCTGTTGGCCATTTTCTTTTTCTAAATGTTACCAAAATCAAACAACAACAATTAGGGATCAAGGGAAACAAACACACAAAATTTGAGAAAAATCTATGTTGTTGTTCACAAGAAATAGTTCAAAGTCAAAATTCAAAAGTGCTGCCTGTCCATCATTTTGTTTTCCTAAGAAGACCCAAAATCCAATGGACACAACTAGGGACCAAAGGAACCTACATGTTAAAGTTAAGAACGATCCATCCAGTACTTCCTAAAAAATAGTGATAAAAATCTTGCAAAGTCAAAATCAAAGATGGCCACCTGTTGGCCATTTTGTTTTTCCCAAAACCAAAAATTGAATTGGCGCAACTAGAGACCAAGGGGTATCTAAATATGAAAGTTGAGAAAGGTTCATCAATTTCTTCTCAAGAAATAGCTATAACATACTGGCAAAGTCAAAATCAAAGATGGCCACCTGTTGGTCATTTCATTTTTCTCATCAGTCCCAAAATTAGAGGGGCACAACTAGAGACCAAAGGGTATCTACATATGAAACTTGAAAGAGATCCATCCAGTACTTTTCAAGAAATAGAGATAACAATCTTCATTGGAAAAATCTATAATGGTCATCTGTCAGCCATTTTTTTCTGATCAGTCCCAAAATCAAACTGGCAAAACTAGGGACCAAGGGGAAACTACCCATGAAATCTGAGAAAGATCATCAAGTACTTCTCAAGAAATAGCGATATTAAAAATTGTTTATGGACAGACGGATGATGAATCATGGACATAGGACGGGCCTAACAGAAATAAGAACTAATAAGACATATCAAAAAACTCAGAAATGACTAGATAATTATGGTCCGAATTTTACAATGCTTCAGAACAGCTTTCTATTCCTGAAGTGTAAAGTACTTCAGAGGTTTTTTTATAGTCATTTATAAAATGTTTCAGGTTTCAAAATGTATCAGATTCTGAAGTTTCAGGAATAAGAAGATAAGAAATGTTCAAATACATTATGATTGGCACAATAATACCTAAATATGGCTGCCAGTCTGTCAAGCCAGATAGCTGGATCCTCTGAACTTCCCTGTTTAGGTTTGTTGTTCTCTGCAGCTATAATCTGTAAGATAGAACACAGAAAATGATTGGCATTAACACTTCCAACACTTGTACATTTGTTCAACTGTTGTTAGGTCTTCCAACTCAGGGATAGCTCTTCTGAGTTTTAAGATTTCAGTGATACATTGTAATTACATAATATGCTATCACAAATGTAGTCTTACTAGAAACAAAAAGCAGGGTCAGTAAAATGGATACATCTGTAGTATAAACAAACAAGGCAAAACAATACAAGGCCCATCAGAAACAGGTTATGTTCCCCGGTGGGGACAAAATTTAATTATGAAAAATAACAAAAGGCAATAAAATAGTGATGATTCTTGCGCACTGCCTTTCTACTTGTTGAGACCTAACTACCTCGAAAGTTTCGTGTTGATACCTCTTATAGTTTTATTGTAATGCTCCAGACCAAACTTAACTTTGAAAAATAACAAAGGGCAATAACTCTTAAATCATGCAAAAGAGACTGATGGTTCTGTTACATTGCCCTTGTACTAAATACAGTTGCCAAAACCAACTGTGGCATTAGATGCTAGTGTGTACTAAATTCTATACGAATCAATTCATTAAATCCATTAAAACATAAAGATACAGTGGACTATAGGGTTTCTACATGTCCTATGGACATTGCTGATTCGTGACTGTACCTTGTTTAGTTATGGACATTGCTGATTTGTGACACTACCTTGTTTAGTTATGGACATTGCTGATTTGTGACACTACCTTGTTTAGTTATGGACATTGCTGATTCGTGTCACTACCTTGTTAAGTTAAGGACATTGCTGATTTGTAACACTACCTTGTTTAGTTATGGACATTGCTGATTTGTGACACTACCTTGTTTAGTTATGGACATTGCTGATTTGTGACCCTACCTTGTTTAGTTATGGACATTGCTGATTTGTGTCCGTACCTTGTTTAGTTATGGACATTGTTGATTTGTGACACTACCTTGTTTAGTTATGGACATTGCTGATTTGTGACACTACCTTGTTTAGTTATGGACATTGCTGATTTGTGACACTACCTTGTTTAGTTATGGACATTGCTGATTTGTGACACTACCTTGTTTAGTTATGGACATTGCTGATTCGTGTCACTACCTTGTTTAGTTATGGACATTGCTGATTTGTAACACTACCTTGTTTAGTTATGGACATTGCTGATTTGTGTCCGTACCTTGTTTAGTTATGGACATTGCTGATTTGTGACATTACCTTGTTTAGTTATGGACATTGCTGATTTGTGACTGTACCTTGTTTAGTTATGGACATTGCTGATTCGTGACTGTACCTTGTTTAGTTATGGACATTGCTGATTTGTGACATTACCTTGTTTAGTTATGGACATTGCTGATTTGTGACTGTACCTTGTTTAGTTATGGACATTGCTGATTTGTGTCCGTACCTTGTTTAGTTATGGACATTGCTGATTTGTAACACTACCTTGTTTAGTTATGGACATTGCTGATTTGTGACCCTACCTTGTTTAGTTATGGACATTGCTGATTCGTGACTGTACCTTGTTTAGTTATGGACATTGCTGATTTGTAACACTACCTTGTTTAGTTATGGACATTGCTGATTCGTGACTGTACCTTGTTTAGTTATGGACATTGCTGATTTGTGACACTACCTTGTTTAGTTATGGACATTGCTGATTCGTGACTGTACCTTGTTTAGTTATGGACATTGCTGATTTGTGACACTACCTTGTTTAGTTATGGACATTGCTGATTCGTGACTGTACCTTGTTTAGTTATGGACATTGCTGATTTGTGACACTACCTTGTTTAGTTATGGACATTGCTGATTTGTGACCCTACCTTGTTTAGTTATGGACATTGCTGATTCGTGACTGTACCTTGTTTAGTTATGGACATTGCTGATTTGTGACACTACCTTGTTTAGTTATGGACATTGCGTGACTGTACCTTGTTTAGTTATGACTGTACCTTGTTTAGTTATGGACATTGCTGATTTGTGACACTACCTTGTTTAGTTATGGACATTGCTGATTTGTGACACTACCTTGTTTAGTTATGGACATTGCATTGCTGTTTATTATGGACATTGCTGATTCGTGATTGCGCTGATTCGTGACACTACCTTGTTTAGTTATGGACATTGCTGATTTGTGACACTACCTTGTTTAGTTATGGACATTGCTGATTCATGACTGTACCTTGTTTAGTTATGGACATTGCTGATTTGTGACACTACCTTGTTTAGTTATGGACATTGCTGATTCGTGACTGTACCTTGTTTAGTTATGGACATTGCTGATTCGTGACTGTACCTTGTTTAGTTATGGACATTGCTGATTTGTGACACTACCTTGTTTAGTTATGGATATTGCTGATTCGTGACTGTACCTTGTTTAGTTATGGACATTGCTGATTTGTGACACTATCTTGTTTAGTTATGGACATTGCTGATTTGTGACATTACCTTGTTTAGTTATGGACATTGCTGATTTGTGACACTACCTTGTTTAGTTATGGACATTGCTTGTTTAGTTATGGACATTGCTGACTGTACCTTGTTTAGTTATGGACATTGCTGATTTGTGACTGTACCTTGTTTAGTTATGGACATTGCTGATGTACCTTGTTTAGTTATGGACACACTACCTTGTTTAGTTATGGACATTGCTGTACCTTGTTTAGTTATGGACATTGCTGATTTGTGACACTACCTTGTTTAGTTATGGACATTGCTGATTTGTGACACTACCTTGTTTAGTTATGGACATTGCTGATTCGTGTCACTACCTTGTTTAGTTATGGACATTGCTGATTTGTGACACTACCTTGTTTAGTTATGGACATTGCTGATTCGTGACTGTACCTTGTTTAGTTATGGACATTGCTGAACCTTGTTTAGTTATGGACATTGTACCTTGTTTAGTTATGGACATTGCTGATTTGTGACACTACCTTGTTTAGTTATGGACATTGCTGATTCGTGACTGTACCTTGTTTAGTTATGGACTTTGCTGATTCGTGACTGTACCTTGTTTAGTTATGGACATTGCTGATTTGTGACACTACCTTGTTTAGTTATGGACATTGCTGATTTGTGACACTACCTTGTTTAGTTATGGACATTGCTGATTTGTGACACTACCTTGTTTAGTTATGGACATTGCTGATTTGTGACACTACCTTGTTTAGTTATGGACATTGCTGATTTGTGACACTACCTTGTTTAGTTATGGACATTGCTGATTTGTGACTGTACCTTGTTTAGTTATGGACATTGCTGATTTGTGACATTACCTTGTTTAGTTATGGACATTGCTGATTCGTGACTGTACCTTGTTTAGTTATGGACATTGCTGATTTGTGACTGTACCTTGTTTAGTTATGGACATTGCTGATTCGTGACTGTACCTTGTTTAGTTATGGACATTGCTGATTTGTGACATTACTTTGTTTAGTTATGGACATTGCTGATTCGTGACTGTACCTTGTTTAGTTATGGACATTGCTGATTCGTGACTGTACCTTGTTTAGTTATGGACATTGCTGATTCGTGACTGTACCTTGTTTAGTTATGGACATTGCTGATTTGTGACTGTACCTTGTTTAGTTATGGACATTGCTGATTTGTGACATTACCTTGTTTAGTTATGGACATTGCTGATTCGTGACTGTACCTTGTTTAGTTATGGACATTGCTGATTCGTGACTGTACCTTGTTTAGTTATGGACATTGCTGATTCGTGTCCTTACCTTGTTTAGTGGAGTAAGTTGATAGGAACACAGTTGACTAAGACCATCCCCAACTTTATCATATGGTAAACGTCCAAGTATCGTAGCAGTTCCTGAAAATAAAAAAAAAATTGATTGGACAATAAAGCAAGTGAGTCTATACCCATTATGTCTATGTCAAAAAGTGTTTCAGCCAGATTGGAGATAGGACAGGAATGTGAGGGTTGCTAGGTAAAGAGTTTGGGGCCAGATCGGTGCTATCTAGGTGAAATTTGGGGCCAAATTGGTGCTATCTAGGTGAAATCTGGGGCCAGATTGGTGCTATCTAGGTGAAATTTGGGGCCAGATTGGTGCTATCCAGGCGAAGAATTTGGGACCAGATTAGTGCTATCTCAGTGAAAAATTTGGGGCCACATTGGTGCTATCTAGGTGAAGGATTTGGGACCAGATTCGTGCTATCTAGGTGAAGAATTTGGGACCAGTTTGGTGCTATCTAGGTGAAGAATTAAGGACCAGATTGATGCTATCTAGGTACAGAATTTGGGGCAAGATTCGTGTTATCTACGTGAAGAACTTGGGACCAGTTTTGTGCTATCTAGGTAAAGATTATATAGGTGTCAGGTAAAAAATTGAGCTGGTTTCAGTACACCTACCTTTGAGAAGACCTATTGCAGCCTCAGATGACAGGTTGAATGTGTCTATGGCCTGTACAATTTGTAGAAGCCCTTGAAAATGGTCTATCATTTTCTCTCTACATGTAGTTGATATTGACTGGAGAGAGTTAGCTGCTACAGATGCTAACTTTTGATCTTGTAATCCTCGCAACAGAAATTGTAAAACTGGGTCTGTTATGGAATAAAAAAGAAAATGTCACAAATTAAAAAAAAAAACCACCAAAATCTTGATTACAGACATGTCAGGAAGGGCTTTGCAATATATGTGTCTGATTCTAAACCTAAGCTTAATCATTATACTGATAAAGAAATATAGCTTACACGTCTTTACATCCCCCTGATACACATACACTTTATTCAATTCAAATCAGATCTGACTTGTTATATGTAGACACAAAAATAATACCTCATAAGGAATAGAATACTGACATTGACATTTCAGTGATTCAATTCATTTTGATTTTTTCTGGTTCATTATGTCAGAACATTTACAGCAAAATGCTCTAAATACTTGACATTGACCCCTATCCAATGACATTGACTTTTATGGTATTTTTTACGAATTAACTTTGCTTCACAATGTTATGAAAAAAAATGACCAATTAAAGAGATACATAATGTGACCTTAACTTTGAACCCTTTGACATTGATATGACATTTCCAGGTATGATTTTGGTAAACTTTGCATAATAATAACATGAAATATTTATCACTGATATTTAAAATTTGACCTTGACATTTGATATAGTGACCTTGTCTTGAAGTCAACTAACGTCTCATTTGATTCTAGACATAATGTCATAACAAAATATTTACCAATAGAAAATTTAAAATCTGACCTTTGACATTGTGACCATGACCTGTAGTGGGACAAATTCTCATTTGATTTCTCTTAATTTTTCTTTATAACGTTATAAAGAAATATTTACAAGAAACATAATAATATTATGTACTTCTGTATTCAATTGTGTACATGTACATCATGACCTTCTAAATTCTGAGAGATTTTCTGGAAACAAATGTGCTAATGGGAGACATTGTAATTACTATACCAGGTTAGCACAGGGTTAAGATACAAGTGTACATGTGTGTGTTTAGGTAAAACACAAAAAAATATGTAAAATTCTTCTTGTACAAACAAGTTGTATACCTAGGAATTCCGGGTGTTTCTCTATCCATTCGCATAGCTCTCCAAACAGACGTATACTGGTGTGACGTACAGACACATGGGCAGTGTCAGGGATTGATAGAATCGCATTCACAACCTCTGGTACAATTTCATTCTCTTCTCTGAAAAACATTTCACCAAACAAAAAGTCAGCATATTCTATCAAAAGACGTAATCAGCAGATTTCCTCTTTTTTTATTATTGGGTTAATCCCCCCTGTGAACAGTCAGGGCTATTTTGCTGTAGAGCTTTCAGTAACTGATGGCTACCTCAAAAAACATTAAACAGGAGGCCCATCACATACCCTGACAATAAGTGTCTCACCAAACGACTCAACCACATCAAAACAGACACGTCTGCTTCTCTTTTTCCTCATCAACTGCTATGGGTAGGGAGCACATTTTCCAAAAACATATCAGAACATTTTTCACAAAACACACCATCACATTTACTTTATGGTAACAAGTTTTTGGTGACAGCTGTCAATACCTTCACTCATGGTAACAAGTTTTTGGTGACAGTTGTCAATACCTTTACTCACAGTAACAAGTTTTTGGTGACAGCTGTCAATACCTTTACTCACAGTAACAAGCTTTTGGTGACAGCTGTCAATACCTTTACTCATGGTAACAAGTTTTTGGTGACAGCTGTCAATACATTTACTCACGGTAACAAGTTTTTGGTGACAGCTATCATTACATTTACTCACAGTAACAAGTTTTTGGTGACAGCTATCATTACATTTACTCACAGTAACAAGTTTTTGGTGACAATAGTCTTTACATTTACTCACGGTAACAAGTTTTTGGCGACAGCGGTCATAACAAACAGAGATGCCTCAGTTACCTCCCATGAGGCAGATGTTGTCTGGGACTTCAAGTTTTCAAACATCTGTAACAGAAAGGCTTTTGTTGTGTTAGAGGAACACAAATGCTCCTGCTGACAGACATGGAGAATTTTGAAATCCTTTAGTGTTAATGGCTTAGAGGTGTACACATGAACTTGATCCAAAAATGTTTGCCAAATCTTTCGTGAAAAATTGAGAATGAACTAAAAGTTTTGTCAGTAGATAATTTGTTGTTTTTAAATAATCAGTGAGTTAAGCAAAACTGAAATAATGATGTTTTTGTGAAAATTCTAATTAAAATAATAAAAGTAAGATGCAATTTCAAAGCCAATCACAGTTGTACATTTGTAGCCATTAAAGATTAAATGATTAGAAATAATGCTTTTAAGTTAGTCTCAATTAGTTGCCAGATATACTGTAATTTATTCACCCAGAGTTTTAGCTTAAGTGTAAAAATTATCTTTGTTTCAATTTCTATTTCAATTTTCTCAATCCTTTTTCAGTAAACATTTGCTTAGATTGTTTTTACATAATTTTATCATAATATGATAACAGATGTCATTAACACAGGTCCTATCAAATCACAGATCAATTTTCACTATGTCGTTCATTCAGCATAATTTAGTGAAAATATCATCCCAGTGACTATATGGTACATTCAATGATATTGCTGATTCTTTATTGAATCACATGCACTCTCCAAGACTTACCTGGTTAAAACATCGTGATGATCCCACAATAAATATCACATCTTTAATGAGTTCTGAAACACGTATTCGAAATTCTCCGAAGTCATCAGACTCATCTGGCACACCCTCCTGAAAAATGCAATTAACAGATTTCAATCTGGATCTTTGATATCTGTGTAACAAATCTGTGTATTGACAGTGTAAACTAAATCTCTGGTGTATAACACCTACCAAATGATTCAATATGACTATGTATGAAAAGTTTGAACTCTGCTTTTACTTAATGGACCTTGTCTGTTCACATTTTACTTACATGATCAGTGTCCATCTGACAATGATGACACAGGGCTATAATAAGTCTTTGTATGTAGGGTTTGAAAACATCAGTTAACATGTCCTGACTTCGCTGATACAGGTCTTCAGACAGGCGATACCAAAAATTAAATGTTATTTCTGTCACCTGAAAGAAAATAAAAGATCCACTAATACAGACATACAAAAAACTGACGAACATGAATGACTTCTAGATCCACTACCACAGACATACAAAAAAACTGACAAACATGAATGACTTCTAGATCCACTACCACAGACATACAAAAAACTGACAAACATGAATGACATCTAGATCCACTACCACAGACATACAAAAACCTGACAAACATGAATGACGTCTAGATCCACTACCACAGACATACAAAAAACTGACAAGCATGAATGACTTCTAGATCCACTACCACAGACATACAAAATACTGACAAACATGAATGACTTCTAGATCCACTAGGTGAAAAGTTCATACTGTGTATGTTATTTTTGTCTGTAAGGATCGAGTTGTAATCTTCAGAGCATTTCTGATTGAAATTGCAGAGATACACATTGTATATATAACAACTTTGTGATAATACACCATTATGGAGCTTATACAGTAATGGATGAATAAATTATGTGGCAAAACATCAGCATGGTAGTGTCATGTACAAATCTGACCACGAGTAAACTTAATATGACATGAATTCTGTCAACTATTAATATCACATTCTGCTTATTATCACAATCCCACCTGACAAATAGAACATGATATAAAGTGGGTTTCACTATACTACCGCAAACGTGGAATAGTATCTAGATCACCATATTGTGTTTTTGAGGACACCATGTAACTCACCTCATATAAATGGTGACCGACGCATGTCAGCAATATTTCTAAGATTCTTAGGTCTCCTAACCCCTAGAAAATAAAACAATGAGAACATTTTTAAGTAATTTCATGCATAGAGATAAAAGCAGGATACAGTTGAATTCCTGGAAATCAAATGGTGAAGATTTAGATTTTTCAATGTGTCAAGCTGAAGACAAAGTCCAGAATTATTTTCTAACATAATGCATTACGTTTTACTACTTTTTTTTTTTAGTTTTTATCCAATTATTTTCTTTTTTGTTTTGTTCAAAAGTAAGAATACAGCCTGTTTCTTACACACCCGTTGAGATTTATAAAACAAATAAAAAACAAGAGGCCTATTGGATTTGGCGTCACCTTAGATAATCAATATTGATTATAAAGGTTAAAGGATAGTTATCATGTGTCATAAAAACAGAGTTTGTGACACTGATGATAGTAACCCAGTGTCAATACATGCACACCATCAAAACTGTCATCCTATACTGATAATTCTTACAAAGTCACTTCCAGTGGGAAATAAACATTATGTTCAAAAATGTAATTTTTCTATAAAAAAGAAAGTAAATTAATGGGAGGAAGACATGCGAGACCCATTTTGGTAGTGAAAAACTTTAAGACACTTCCATCCATGAAGAGCATTTGATTCTGCCATACCTGGGTGTTGAGAAGATTTTAAAAATTGAAGTCAATTTGACCCCATTTGGCCCCATCTATCAGCCCCTGAGGGGTAATCAGGATCAATTAATGCATACCATCTTGCCATTGTCCCTTGCTCAAAATTCTAAGTTGAAATATTTTCAATGGAAATTAAACAATTATGCTGAAAAATTATTTTGCCTTCATAAAACATACAAACTACATTAAACTTTAGCCCCTCCCCATGGAGATATGCAAAACCCTGGGGCCGTGAAATTCACAATTTTGTAAAGCACCTTAAGATGATTCCATCCGCGAAGAGCATTTGATCTTACCATATCTAGGTGCTGAGAAGTTTTTTGAAATTTGAGTTAATCTGAATCCTTTTGGCCTGGCCCTCAGGCCCCTGTGGGGTGGGGACTGTTTTGTTTTATCTTAGAACAGGAAAGGTTTCACAATATTTCATCAAAAGCGGTTCTGGGATTTTTGAAAAGACATTGAAAATGCTAAATTGTTTAGGGATGCACGACCCCGAAGGTGATCACAAAAGATAGATTTTAACATCAAGCCTAACAAATACTTTCAGGCTTCTCAGGAAATATGGCAAAGTGTGTTTACAGCGGTAGAGATTAACCTGGAATAGTGTGTCTACAGCAGTAGATACTTACCTGGTGTTTAGTGTGTTTACAGAGGTAGATATTTACCTGGTGTACAGTGTGTTTACAGAGGTAGATATTTACCTGGTGTATAGTGTGTTTACAGAGGTAGATATTTACCTGGTGTATAGTGTCTACAGAGGTAGATATTTACCTGGTGTATAGTGTCTACAGAGGTAGATATTTTCCTGGTGTTTAGTGTCTATAGAGGTAGATATTTACCTGGTGTACAGTATGTTTACAGAGGTAGATATTTACCTGGTGTATAGTGTGTTTACAGAGGTAGATATTTACCTGGTGTATAGTGTCTACAGAGGTAGATATTTTCCTGGTGTATAGTGTCTATAGAGGTAGATATTTACCTGGTGTACAGTGTGTTTACAGAGGTAGATATTTACCTGGTGTATAGTATGTTTACAGAGGTAGATATTTTCCTGGTGTATAGTGTGTTTACAGAGGTAGATATTTACCTGGTGTATAGTGTCTACAGAGGTAGATATTTACCTGGTGTATAGTGTGTTTACAGCGCTAGATATTTATCTGGTGTATAGTGTCTACAGAGGTAGATATTTACCTGGTGTATAGTGTGTTTACAGAGGTAGATAATTACCTGGTGTATAGTGTCTACAGAGGTAGATATTTTCCTGGTGTATAGTGTCTATAGAGGTAGATATTTACCTGGTGTACAGTGTGTTTACAGAGGTAGATATTTACCTGGTGTATAGTATGTTTACAGAGGTAGATATTTTCCTGGTGTATAGTGTGTTTACAGAGGTAGATATTTACCTGGTGTATAGTGTGTTTACAGCGCTAGATATTTACCTGGCGTATAGTGTCTACAGAGGTAGATATTTACCTGGTGTATAGTGTGTTTACAGCGCTAGATATCTACCTGGTGTAAAGTGTCTACAGAGGTAGATATTTACCTGGTGTATAGTGTGTTTACAGAGGTAGATATTTACCTGGTGTTTAATGTGTTTACAGAGGTAGATATTCACCTGGTGTATAGTGTCTACAGAGGTAGATATTTACCTGGTGTATAGTGTCTACAGAGGTAGATATTTACCTGGTGTATAGTGTGTTTACAGCGCTAGATATTTACCTGGTGTATAGTGTGTTTACAGAGGTAGATATTTACCTGGAATAATGTGTTTACAGAGGTAGATATTTACCTGGTGTACAGTGTGTCTATAGAGGTAGATATTTACCTGGTGTTTAATGTGTTTACAGAGGTAGATATTTACCTGGTGTATAGTGTCTACAGAGGTAGATATTTACCTGGTGTATAGTGTCTACAGAGGTAGATATCTACCTGGTGTACAGTGTGTTTACAGCGGTAGATATTTACCTGGTGTATAGTGTGTTTACAGCGCTAGATATTTACCTGGTGTATAGTGTGTTTACAGAGGTAGATATTTACCTGGAATAATGTGTTTACAGAGGTAGATATTTACCTGGTGTACAGTGTGTCTATAGAGGTAGATATTTACCTGGTGTATAGTGTGTTTACAGAGGTAGATATTTACCTGGTGTTTAATGTGTTTACAGAGGTAGATATTTACCTGGTGTATAGTGTCTACAGAGGTAGATATTTACCTGGTGTATAGTGTCTACAGAGGTAGATATTTACCTGGTGTATAGTGTGTTTACAGCGCTAGATATTTACCTGGTGTATAGTGTTTACAGAGGTAGATATTCACCTGGTGTACAGTGTGTCTATAGAGGTAGATATTTACCTGGTGTACAGTGTCTATAGAGGTAGATATTTACCTGGTGTATAGTGTCTACAGAGGTAGATATCTACCTGGTGTACAGTGTGTTTACAGCGGTAGATATTTACCTGGTGTTCAATGTCTACAGAGATAGATATTTACCTGGTGTAAAGTGTGTTTACAGAGGTAGATATTTACATGATACATGGTGTCTACAGGAACGTACCTGGTTTGGTGTGTCAACAATTGCTTCTAAGAGAGACTCAGCAAGTTCTGTAAATATTCTACAAAAATTGATTGATCTGAAAAACAAACGTGTGAAAAGAAATTAAGTTTGTTCATTATAATTATGCTTTGAGTTGAATATAAAATATCAAGTGACATCCACACAACCACAGACATCATTCTGAAATTATATTTACAAGCATTCCCTTTCTCATCATATCTATCTAGTACCTATGTAGTACTTAATTATGGGAATCTAGTTATAATTGATAATTGCATGGATACCAAACCTATTAGACTATCAAAATCAATTACAGATTTTCATTAAATTCAATCAACCACTGTTCAGGATGCAATCCTTAACATGTTTTTAAATGTTTTTGACAAGCTTGGACAGTGATGAAAAATAAGTCAGTAATTTAGCAGATGAATAGACACACAAGGTGATTCAGTGTTGAAACTTTACAATTTTAAATGTTTTGACGTACTTATCAGTGTCCTCCAGGGCAACAGTCATATGATAGGCTTCCTGTAATGTCAGACTTCCATGGTACAAGGCTTCAGCTAGCTGTAAATGTTTCCGCAGATCCTACCAAAAACAATTGTTCTTACAAAGTATATGATATCAGCCAATCTATAGGGTTAACTTATACAATATATCAGTCAGTCAATCTTTTGAATCTTATACAGTTGAAACTCATTGTCTCCAAATCGCTTGTGTTGAAATTTTGTTTGAGTCAAAATAATTTTCAAGTCTCAATTTTTTTTATCCTTCTATATCTTCATATTTTTAGTTCGGATAACTGAAATTTCTTAAAATACTGTAACATCAATCTTTTGGAATTGTAGCCAATAAACTGTTACGTCAATCTTTTGGAACAGTATATGTAAGGCCAAACAGTAATGTTCTTTTGTATACTTGGACCAAACAATTTCTATACAACTATTTAAGACAGTAGTCTCCCCTCATTTGGAATAGGTCGCTAGTGTGTGGAGCCTATACAAAGTGAAAAACGTTATATTTATGTTACGGGATATTTGACCATCATATAGAAACCAGAAAAAGTGGCAATTCACAAAACTACAGAAAAAATACTGCAGGTTGGATATCTACAATTGTCAATGTATGGGACAGCCTATTGGAAATGGTTGTACAAGCAACAACCATTAAACTAATCTGGACAGCTAATGGAGCTACTTAGAAATAAAATTTACTTGCTAGCTTCTATAGCATGAAGTGACAATAAATAAATTTCATATATTCTATTGCAGTATAAAATATACTGTTACATCAATCTGTCCTATATACATTAAATACAAAATGGTTCAACATTAATACATTTATGCCACAATCAAACAGCTGATATGAATATTTGTCTGTTTATGCTGTTTAATCACATAGTTACCCCTACCAATATAATTCTTTTACCAACAACTGGTATCAAGTACTAGAAATAATGTTAGTTGTTAATGTATTCTAGAACTATAGAAGAAAAAATCATGATTGTAAATTTGTGAAAAAAACCCATTTGATTCTGATATCCTCTGGAGAAGAAAGCTGTAGACCTATTTATAAAACTGGATATGAAACCTTACTTGCTTGTTAACATGTTCTTTAAACTGAAGCAGAAATACTCAATGATATGTGTGGAGGAACTTACATCTGCACAGTAAAGGGCAGAGCATATACAGTCTGTGGCAGCCTCATGTAAAACAGAGGGACAGTCTTGTGCAACCTATAATAAAGAAACAAGATAATGTTTTATCAATAAAAACATCTGGGGGGATATATCAGGTAAAATATCTTAAACTAAGTCACATCACTAAATCATCAATTACCTTATCAAGATCTTGACAAGAAGTCTGATTCCAAAATGGGCAGTCTTGGATTTCAAAATCTATTTCATTTCAGTATGTTTCTATTAATATACTAACCAGAACTTGGAAGGGAGCCATCAGGAGTTTATTGTGTGTGATACAGTCATCCTGTACAACTCCAAGGGCAAACCAGCTGCCCATACAGCGAAACACTTTGGCCTGTGCTCGTGGATCACTGGTGCATGTCTCAAGACATGCTGTCTACAAAGAAGAATGTATCATATTGTATAATGTACTGTTATCAGAAATACTATAGGTATATCTACTAGTAATACTACAGGTATATCTGCCTATCAGTAACACTACAGGTATATCTATTAGTAATACTACAGGTATATCTACCTACCAGTAATACTACAGGTATATCTACCAGTAATACTACAGGTATACCTGCCTACCAGTAATACTTCAGGGTTATCCACCTACCGGTAATACTACAGGTATATCTACCAGTAATACTACCTACCAGTAATACTACAGGTATATACCTACCAGTAATACTACAGATATATACCTACCTACAGGTATATCTACCTACCAGTAATACTACAGGTATATCTACCTACCAGTAATACTACAGATATATCTACCAACCAGTAATACTACAGATATATCTACCTACCAGTAATACTGCAGGTATATCTACCTACCACTAATACTACAGGTGTATCTACCTACCAGTAATACTACAGGTATATCTACCTACCAGTAATACTACAGGTATATCTACCTACCAGTAGTACTACAGGTGTATCTACCTACCAGTAATACCTACCAGTATATATATCTACCAGTAATACTACAGGTGTATCTACCTACCAGTAATACTACAGGTATATTTACCTACAAGTAATACTACAGGTATATCTACCTACCAATAATACCACAGGTATATCTACCAGTAATACCACAGGTATATCTACCTACCAGTAATACTACAGGTATATCTACCAGTAATACTACAGGTATATCTGCCTACCAGTAATACTTCAGGGTTATCTACCTACCAGTAATACTACAGATATATCTACCTACCAGTAATACTACAGGTATATCTACCAGTAATACTACAGGTATATCTGCCTACCAGTAATACTTCAGGGTTATCTACCTACCAGTAATACTACAGGTATATCTACCAGTAATACTACAGGTATATCTGCCTACCAGTAATACTACAGGTATATCTACCTACCAGTAATACTACAGGTATATCTACCTACCAGTAATACTTCAGGTATATCTACCAGTAATACTTCAGGTATATATACCTACCAGTAATACTACAGGTATATCTACCTACCAGTAATACTACAGGTATCTCTACCTACCAGTAATACTACAGGTATATCTACCTACCAGTAATACTACAGGTATATCTACCTACCAGTAATACTACAGGTATATCTACCAGTAATACTACAGGTGTATCTACCTACCAGTAATACTACAGGTATATCTACCTACCAGTAATACTACAGGTGTATCTACCTACCAGTAATACTACAGGTGTATCTACCTACCAGTAATACTACAGGTATATCTACCTTCCTGTAATACTACAGGTATATCTACCTACAAGTAATACTACCGGTATATCTACCTACAAGTAATACTACAGGTATATCTACCTACCAGTAATACTACAGGTATATCTACCAGTAATACCACAAATATATCTACCAGTAATACCACAGAAATATCTACCAGTAATACCACAGATATATCTACCTACCAGTAATACTACAGGTATATCTACCAGTAATACTACAGGTATATCTACCAGTAATACTACAGATATATCTACCAGTAATACCACAGGTATATCTACCTACCAGTAATACTACAGGTATATCTACCAGTAATACTACAGGTGTATCTACCTACCAGTAATACTACAGGTATATTTACCTACCAGTAATACTACAGGTATATCTACCTACCAGTAATACTACAGGTATATCTACCTACCAGTAATACTACAGATATATCTACCTACCAGTAATACTACAGGTATATCTACCAGTAATACTACAGATATATCTAGCAGTAATACCACAGGTATATCTACCTACCACTAATACTACAGGTGTATCTACCTACCAGTAATACTACAGGTATATCTACCTACCAGTAATACTACAGGTATATCTACCAGTAATACTACAGGTATATCTACCTACCAGTAATACTACAGGTATATCTACCTACCAGTAATACTACAGGTATATCTACCTACCAGTAATACTACAGGTATATCTACCAGTAATACTACAGGTGTATCTACCTACCAGTAATACTACAGGTATATCTACCTACCAGTAATACTACAAAGATATCTACCTACCAGTAATATTACAGGTATATCTACCTACCAGTAATACTACAGATATATCTACCTACCAGTAATACTACAGGTATATCTACCTACCAGTAATACTACAGGTATATCTACCTACCAGTAATACTACAGGTATATCTACCTACCAGTAATACTACAGGTATATCTACCTACCAGTAATACTACAGGTATATATCTACCAGTAATACTACAAATATATACCTACCAGTAATACTACAGGTATATCTACCAGTAATACTACAGGTATCTCTACCTACCAGTAATACTACAGGTATATCTACCAGTAATACTACAGGTATCTCTACCTACCAGTAATACTACAGGTATATCTACCAACCAGTAATACCACAGGTATATCTACCTACCAGTAATACTACAGGTGTATCTACCTACCAGTAATACTACAGGTATATCTACCTACCAGTAATACTACAGGTATATCTACCTACCAGTAATACTACAGATATATCTACCTACCAGTAATACTACAGGTATATCTACCTACCAGTAATACTACAGATATATCTACCTACCAGTAATACTACAGGTATATCTACCTACCAGTAATACTACAGGTATATCTACCTACCAGTAATACTACAGATATATCTACCTACCAGTAATACTACAGGTATATCTACCTACCAGTAATACTACAGGTATATCTACCTACCAGTAATACTACAGGTATATCTACCTACCAGTAATACTACAGGTATATCTACCTACCAGTAATACTACAGATATATCTACCTACCAGTAATACTACAGGTATATCTACCTACCAGTAATACTACAGGTATATCTACCTACCAGTAATACTACAGGTATATCTACCAGTAATACTACAGTATATATCTACCAGTAATACTACAGGTATATCTACCTACCAGTAATACTACAGGTGTATCAGGTATATCACCTACCAGTAATACTACAGGTATATCTACCTACCAGTAATACTACAGGTTTATCTACCTACCAGTAATACTACAGGTAATACTACAGGTATATTTACCTACCAGTAATACTACAGGTATATCTACCTACCAGTAATACTACAGGTATATATCTACCAGTAATCAGGTATATCTACCAGTAATACTACCAGTAATACTACCAGTAATACAGATATATCTACCTACCAGTAATACTACAGGTATATCTACCTACCAGTAATACTACAGGTATATCTACCAGTAATACTACAGGTATATCTGCCTACCAGTAATACTACAGGTATATCTGCCTACCAGTAATACTACAGGTATATCTACCTACCAGTAATACTACAGATATATCTACCAGTAATACTACAGGTATATCTACCTACCAGTAATACTACAGGTATATCTACCAGTAATACTACAGGTATATCTACCTACCAGTAATACTACAGGTATATCTACCTACCAGTAATACTACAGGTATATCTACCTACCAGTAATACTACAGGTATATCTACCTACCAGTAATACTACAGATATATCTACCTACCAGTAATACTACAGATATATCTACCTACCAGTAATACTACAGGTATATCTACCTACCAGTAATACAACAGGTATATCTCTACCAGTAATACTACAGGTATATCTACCTACCAGTAATACTACAGGTACCAGTAATACTACAGGTATATCTGCCTACCAGTAATACTACAGGTATATCTACCTACCAGTAATACTACAGATATATCTACCAACCAGTAATACTACAGATATATCTACCTACCAGTAATACTACAGATATATCTACCTACCAGTAATAGTACAGGTATATCTATCTACCAGTAATACTTCAGGTATATCTACCAGTAATACTTCAGGTATATCTACCAGTTATACTACAGGTATATCTACCTACCAGTAATACTACAGGTATACTACAGGTATATCTACCTACCAGTAATACTACAGGTATATCTACCTACCAGTAATACTACAGATATATCTACCTACCAGTAATACTACAGGTATATCTACCAGTAATACTACAGGTATATCTATCTACCAGTAATACTACAGGTATATCTATCTACCAGTAATACTTCAGGTATATCTACCAGTAATACTTCAGGTATATCTACCAGTTATACTACAGGTATATCTACCTACCAGTAATACTACAGGTATATCTACCTACCAGTAATACTACAGGTATATCTACCTACCAGTAATAGCACAGGTATATCTACCTACCAGTAATACTACAGGTATATCTACCAGTAATACTACAGGTGTATCTACCTACCAGTAATACTACAGGTATATCTACCTACCAGTAATACTA